AGATATTAATTCCCAAAACCCCAAAACCCCAAAACCCCTCAAGGCAAGAATTAAGAAATTTAAGTTAAATTCTTTTTATCATTTTGCGAAGATATCAATTTATTTATTATACTAGGGCTATGCAAAATTATATTCAAAAGCTCTTGTATATATATATCATTTTTGGGAATTAATATCTATACACAATGATTACTATTTTAATTAATGTTTCTTACTCTATTAAACTTCAATAATTAAAAAAAGCAAAAACTCTTGAAATTATAATGTCTGACTCGAGTATAGACGACGAATTATTTTGCAACAATGCAGATACGGATTTTCGAGATATGCCTAAATTTATCAGATACCCCTCTTATTATTATACAGATGAATTCAGAGATTATGTTTAAAAGCATAAAATACAAGTCGACAAAAATCATGGTTACTCATTCATTTAACTCTAAAGAGATTATTACTTCCCTGGCCAGGTTGTTAGAGGATACGCATTATTAAATTTTTTTACGGATATCTCTGCTAAAACAATAAACATTAGAGTGAAGGGCTAGGAAATCCCAGGTAAGTATTCTTCAGAGATAAAGAGCAAAATAAAGAATGATCTTGAAGGTTTTAAAGACGAATTTATGACAAATACACTCAATAACTCAATGATGGATCGTAATGATGATTCTGCGATCATAAATGAATTCTCTAATTTGCGAAATTCTAATGAAGTCAAGCCTAACCGTTAAAAATCATGGAGAAATATTCTAATGACTGGGCCACAGTCAGGTGAAGCTTCTAATACCAAATCTAAGAATCCTAGCATGTTTCAAAAAAGACAACTAACATTTAGGAAAGATGAGAAGCTAGAAAAAGATAGAACTCATAACCCCACTAGTCCTAGTCACACAATAATCTCTCCTACTTCTAAAGATCTAACTTTGGGTCGTGCTGAAAGGCGATAATTGATAAATCAAAAGAAATCAAGCCATAGATTAGACATTATTGACTCAGCTTACTCATTATCAAAGAAAAAATAAAGGAAAAAAAATGATAACAATGCCATTCTTTTATTTGAGAATACAATATCCGCTTTTTAATTCAAATCAAAATATATATAAAAAGGTTAATATAGACTACCCTTTTCTTTTCAGTTGCCTTTGAATATACCTGGTACTTTTAGCTATGTCAGCAATAATGGAGATTCTTTTATAATAAACTACATAATGGAGGTATTCATAGAGGATATGCCAGATGTAATATATAGTAAAATTGAAATAGATGTAAGAGAGTTTTTATTTACAGCTACAGAGATTGATAGAGATTTTCAAGAATTTCAATAAATCATTAATCTCAGAAAATTATTAGCCCCTGTGTCTTCTCTTTCAAATAGGATTATTATAGATATGCAATCAGCAAAAGATAAATGCATGAAGTTAACTGATGAAATGCGCAGTCAATCATTAGCAATCACTAACAATTAGTGGTAGTTGCAATAAGAAATCATTAGCTAAAAGTGTCTCTGTTTTTAAACTCACTACTACGTTGAAATACATGCATAGATTAATAAACAGCTCTTTTACCCAAATGAATAAGTTATTGTAAATTACTATGTCGACAATACTCGCAATCAAAGAGACATTAAGAATGTGTCATGCACTCTTACTCATAACATCTAAATAATGAAAGGATAGAAAGTGATGAATGAGTTGAGTTTTGACCTTAAACTGATTTAGTTTAGTGGCATTCAAAGATTCACTAAATAAGAACGAAAAGAATTTTTATTCGACCTAAGCAAAGTATTCTCGCATTTTCCCGGAAGTAACTAAATGATTGACATCAAAAGGAGGAAAAAATCAATTTTAAGGAGAGTTACAATAAAAAATGAATGCAATGAAACTTCTCCAGGCTTGATAGGTGCTTAATTCCAAAGGCAACTCAGCAGGTTTATTTAAAATACGGAAAAGTTTACTTTTCTAAGTGTTAATGGTATTAGTATAAAGAGCTCATTTAGTGTGGATGTAGCAGTCACAATATCAGATCTATTTGGAGATATTAAACATGAAAAGAAATTTCCAATTTAGATAAGAACTCCTAAAAATGGTTAATTTATAAGTGACTTTGAAATGATTGGCTGCTGTCCTTAAATGTTATGTACAAAATAGCAGATAGAAAATGAAAAGTTCGAAATTGATCCGATATAGCTTCCAGGATGTAATTTCTAAATCTAATTAGGTGTGTAAAAACAATGAACTATTTAAATAATCTCATATTCTTGGTTCATCTACTAAATATACCTAAATATTTTTCCTTGATTTGAATTATATAAATGAAAAAAATCAGTAAAGATAGCAATAGGTATGTCACTTTTTATATTATCCCCAGTTTATTAGACTTTAATTTAAGGATTTTTTCAAGTATCTTAAACTTCACTTTATTATGCTAAGCGGGGTTTTGGGGTTTTGGGGAGATCGGAAGAGCGTCGTGTAG